TATTCAGATTTTGACAGAGTGGCCTCTGATGCCCACATTGGTATTTCTTAGATTTATTCAGTTTTTTAAATTTTTATTCTATAATTATTATTATTATGATCATTATTATTATCAATATTATTATTATTATTATTATTATTACTATTATTATTATTATTATTATTTTTCCTTATCACTTTGTGTATCTTTCTTTACCTTAACCAATCTTTAACCTGTTCTTTGTTTTCTTCCTTATATTCCTTTCCTTAACCTACATGTTTATTTCTACCCTTTTTCATAATAAATTTTTTGAGGGCTCTGTTCCCTTTTCAACTGGGTATAAGCCTTGGGTACTTTTTGAAAATTGGCCCATTTTTTAAAATGCTCATAACTCAAAAAATATTTGTCGGAATTAGCTCATAGTATAAAGACATCAATAATAAGCATGTACATGCATGATCTCCTTGTTAGTTGATGAAATATTGTGTCTTTCTTTTATTATGTAGCTGCAATGGGTACTGATAATGAAGGTGGTCACTGTCAGCCAGTCATACATGTAGAGACTAGTGGAGCAACACAGCACAGTACAATCAATGATTGGCATGGTGAGATCCAACTCAAGGACGTGATACCTCAAGTGGTGCTCTTGTTGCTACTAAAGACTATCTTCATTCATTGGAGAATAATCTATTAGGATTGGTACACCATCTACAACAAAGGACTACCAATGACACACAGAGAGAAGGTATCATGTTATGTAGAAAGTTTGAAGTGATTCTGACTTGAATCTTTCAAGTTATGGCCATTTTAAGAAAACAGCAAAATTCTGAAAAAGCCCATTGTTTTTTTTTTCAAAAAATGGCTTCGAAATCACCCCCAATTTTTATTACATTTTCTGATACATATTGATGTCCTTATACTGTGTAGAAAGTTTGAGCTGATACCGACTTCAATTTTTTAAGTTACCGCCATTTAAGAAAATGCCAAAATTTTGAAAAATACCCAAGGCTATAACCCATGGTTTTTCCCAAGAAATGGCTCCAAAATCACCCCCAATTTTTATTACATTTTCTGATATATATTGATGTCCTTATGCTGTGTAGAAAGTTTGAGCTGATTCCGAGGCCATTTTAAGAAAATGCACATGTTAAGTATTGATTAGCTTGTTGGTTTCTATTTTAATAAATACAATTAGAGATATTACAGGGTTAGAATGCTTATCAATGATGATATGTTTCTTGTTAGTAGATACAATGTCTCACTGGCTCCGTCACATTGCAGAGGGAGAGCCATGTGATACTTACCTTAAACTATCATCAGGTGACATAGGCGGCTGCAGGATTTGACTACTAGTCGGGCATGGGTGTGGCACAGGAAATGGGTTGGGCGCGCGAAGCGCGCTGCGATTTTGGCCACACCCTCTTTTACACACCCTTTTTAGCGCAATTTTTTGGTAGCGAAGGTTATTGTAATAAAGTAGTGGGTGGTGTAGCTCCAACACTGACTTCTGTAGTGGTAATAGTACTAGTAGTAGTATTAGTAGAAGAATAGGGTGATGGAGAATGAGCAACAATTGATTGTACATCAACTGTAGCTGTAAAAACTGTAGCTGTATCAACCACAAGAGTAGACTGAGACTCATGATCATCAACTGATTCAGCAAGAGACTGACCTAAAGTAAGTATATGAGATAATCTGTATTATTGACTTCTATACTGCACTTACTAGGTTCACTTTGTAAACTGTTGTTCCTTTTTAGCAGGCTTGTTCACAAAGGACATAGTGAAGCTAGTCCAGGCTTTTAGACATTGCAACTGACAAGAAAAGAACACTGAAATAGCACTAAATAATGAAATGATTATGCTTTCTAGTGTTGCTGTGGTGGCCCACTGTGATTGGCACCAAAGTCTTACCACCTCCTCCTTTATTTAGTCTCTCTTCATCACCTTGTTATCAGCCTGCCATTTATGCATTCATAATTATAAGATTTTCATAAAAAATTGAAATTATAATTGCAATAACTGTTATTAACTATTAATTAAC